ACATGAATACCCCACTCATACACAGTATACTGACTCCGAGCCGACCAGTCCTTGTTTTAGCCCCTTAATGCCGAGCGCCAGACAGGGTAACAACAAGTACCGTCTTTTGACGTCTTTTGGTATGACGCGGATCGAACCCCGGACCTTCCGCTCTCCGGGCGGACGCTCTACCACTATACCACGGAGGCGGTCCAGTTCAGAGGAAGATGCCTTAGCCAGTAGGCTCCTGACCGGGCATCTCCAATAAACAGCAGCAGGGACCAGTCACGAAACACGCTCGCCAGCCGACGCCGTGCCTTCAACCGCGTTACCCCACCCCCTCCAAACCAAGCTTTCCATATTATTGTATGTGTCCAAGGGCGTTCGTTTCGGCCCTCGGATGGTAGCTCAGGGTGATGACGGAAGACAAAACTCAGGGGTGAAGTTTAGACGACAGCAGCCATGTTTATTGTTGACGGTTTGGAATAAGTCGAAAAGGTACATGTTGATAATAACGTGACAGAACGCACACCGGGACCGAGTGGCCAATCTTCCCGGGTGGGATAACCGTTCTGTCACTTACACGAGTCGATCTTCTGGCTGTCTCCAGGCTGTCTCCCTGACTGACCATGTCAGTCGGGTTTTGTAGAGCGAGGTATTACATAACGTGTGGCAAGGTCATTGTCCCACGTGTATGTATAGACGTAAGATCCGGCGACGTTAGGAAGTGTTAATTAAAATTTATAGATAGCGCTGGAGATTAACGGTCCTGCCCGGATACGCCGAATGTTTGCTGAATATATTAAACAGACAAAGGGCAGGAATTTCGGTGCACTTGGAAACATATTGAACCAGTTAGGTATTTAGATAAATGAAATGTAAAATAAAAGTATTGAAATGGTTTGCACTATTTAAGTAAAAGAATTGAAATGGTTTGCACTATAACAATACCCCTGAACGTCGTGGAGCTTTTGTCCTCAAAAGCTTTTTAAAAATAATGACAATATTAAGTACAAGTACAAGTACAGATCAATGCAAATGGACAGGTTGACAAGTAGTTGCTTCATGCACTGAACTTGACTGAGATGAATGAAATGACATTAGATAAGATATACAGGCGTGTAAAAGTAAATAAGTGAATAACAGCATTGTCAATACGGGTGAAACAACTATACATAACATTAACAAGTTGAGCGGATGTACCGGCTCGTACACACAAAATACAGGTGAGCGGAGATTCCGGCTCATACACAAAGAACATTGGACGAGTTTCCACCGAGCGGCACATCCTGCTCGCGGTCGCCCTTGCAGTCGGAATACCAGACTGCTAGATCACAGGTATCACATTGAAACAGACAATACACATTGTTGAAGTAAAGTACACTGATGACGTAGGGACAAAAACATAATGTGCGTAAAGCGTTGTCGTTTGCATATGAAAGTAATATTTTCATGATAACAGTAAGATCTTTGAAATTGGGAGTCTTATATTGTGAGCCTAGACTCGACAAGGCTAGCAGATGTGAAGTGTGATCTGCGCTAAAAAGTAGAATGTGTATGCAAAACCTAACCAACTTCAAAAGTCTAAACTGGAATGTAATGAAAAATTCAATCATGTGAAATTGTCTTGATGATATTTGAACGAATCGTATTTTGTGTGCCAGAGACCATTTACGGTTGATCGCACGAATATACATAATTTTCGCCAGTTTCATAATTAAGCACAAAATCACGTTGGCAAATCGAAGAAGTAGGATATAGACTGTATACACAATCTCCACTGAATAAGCTTGGTAAGCAACGAGGCTCCCTAACTTATTATACTTCTACAATCGCTGCTACTACATCGATTTTATCAGTTTTCACAAAGAGTACAAATAATTTCAGTGCTTACATACTCATAAAGGAATAAATGAAGCTATAAGCAGGAAATTGTAGGGTATTGGATAACTTTGTGAAAGCTATTGTCTATAGTAATGGTTATGGGGCCACAAATTAAAAGAAAAATCCTTGAAACCGGGAGTCTGATTTGTATGAGACGACTCGGAACCCGCAGATATCGTGGATCTGCACTAAATGCGTATAAGCGTAGGGTGTAGGACATGAATAGAGTAAGAGCCTAGCCGATTTCAAAAACTTAATCTGATAAGGATGTACCTCTGATAACAATACATAGATTGCAATACATACTCATTATAGAAAAACATGACAAAATTTTAAGACAACGAAACAATAATGACTTGATTACATAACATACCTTATAGGAACAAGAATGTCCGTGAACATACGTATAAGCACAATACACGTTGAGAGTTGGAACGAAAGTTCAAATATATTGTCACACGCACATATATCGGTGGGCACTTGCTAAAGAATCTTGACGTTGGTCGACTTGATCTTGAGTGTTGGTAGCATGGCTGAACGTTGGCGTACTCACATGATTACATGAATATTGTCTGGATGTCGTTGTTGCTGACGTTCGGGTAGGCTGGGCTGCTGTCTGTTGCTGACGATCGGGTTGGCTGGACCGTTGTCTGTCATTTTCTTCGTTTTCCCGTCAAGATGGCGGCTGGCTTGACGCTGCTTTTGTCTCCCATCACCTCTGAACTACCATTTGCTTTGCTGCGAGTTAGGGTAGGGGGATCGTGCGTGAGTCACAGCAAACTCACGCTACCCGGATTCTCCACCAATTAAGACTGCCTGTGGGGTGATCCCAATAACTGTCAGGCCTCGGTTTGGGGAATTAGCTATCGGGAGCTAGCCTTGAAACAAGAGAGAAGAGAGCTGTGAGGTCCTTAGGGTTTATTCAAGCAAGTGTGTCATATCATTCAAGTTACACCAATTAATATATAATAGTGACGTACAATCATAATAATGATAATAATATGCTAAAACATTGTCCATCTAATAAAGGCACAATAATAAAGGCAATGTATTGGAGTATGTACGGTAACATTATACAACAGATGCAGTATTTACTAGAATAATAACGGTAATGCTAAATAACATTCCTTAACAGCTAAATTGAGTAGTCGTAACATTTTAATAGAGCATGTACGGTAGACTGCACAAACTGCTTAGATGAGGAACATGACATTTACTTATGAAAAGACGGTAAACATTAATATTTGTAGTTTCAGTAATAATTATCACAACATAAAAATTTCGGCAAATACAGAAAGTAAATACTTGATCCAAATAAAGATACGAATGTACGCGGTAGAAGATATAGCTCGGTTTTAGTTAGAGTAATTATCAGTTTTAGAAGTGATTACTTTGGTGACTACGGTAATGAATCACGGCAGCTGTGTTGCTATTGACTGCGCGCATTTCCTAAATATATACGGAGCTAGACGATAACAGCTAATGGAGTGAATACGGTAATTGTATACTTGAACGGTGCGCGTTTGAATGTACGTTATTATGAAGTATAAAGGATGACTATAACAGTATTTAAATGACTACGGAAATGAAATTGTGGTATAGGCTGTGTTGTAGCGTATGCAACTATATGAGGGACGGGACTCTTTACAAAATATTCAAATACTTACTTAATGAGGATAAAACCTAGGAAATATGGAAAGCGTTGTTATAGTCTATTCTGTAAGCGCACACGGAAGGTAAAGCTGCTCATATAACCTTTGATCGGTGGACTGTCGGAAAATATGGAATAACCGACCTACGTATAGAATAAATCTTGCTTGAAACAGTTGTGTTAACTCTACGAACCGTTTTGTGACTAAGCTACATGTACGCTTCGCTACTGCACGGAAATATAAACTGTATATGCATCTTGTATTTTGAACAGATGATGTTAGACATAGAAGAGGAAAATAATCATGGATGTCGAAATATAGGAGAGAACTATTGGTGCCGCATATTAATGACACATAAACTGGAGGAGCCCACGACGCATTACACTTCAAACAACACTGGGAAGTTACTGTGTATTAAACAGTAAATAATATATATAATGAGCAGTCATTTAGAACTTGTACACAGTAGATTGAGAGTTACAATATGGCAGTACTGATTCAACTTAACTATAACATTTTCTAGACAATAATAACAATAAAATAAGAAGTTTAGTCATAAAATAGGAATATTTAAATGTTTCTTACCTTGAAACAAGAGAGAAGAGAGCTGTGAGGTCCTTAGTATGCTGAGGACCAACACCCAAGGAGTTATATACCCCCACAGCTCTACCCTTATCACATTAACAATTAATTGGAAGTTGTAATTTCGGTCTCTGTTATCTGCGCTAGGCTGTCCAAGTAGACTACACAAAAGCAGGTGGTAAAAGAATAGTATCGGTATTGCCTAACAAGAGTTTATTTTAATTACAGTTTAAGATGATGGTCAAAACGTGCGCCAGCTGGTAACAAAACATTATCAATAGAACAAGGGCCGGGGCGGACGAACGCGCCGACTTTATCTATGATTACGTAATTTACTGAATGAGCTTGCCAAGGAGCCGTCATGGTCGACCAGTGGCGATAAAAACAAGAAATACTGGTCTAGCGACTTCCGAATTTTAGAATTTCCCAGTTTAAGTTTAATTTGTTAAAAATATAAAAAGTGTAATGAAATATATGCACTGTAACATATGTTTTATTAATGTTAATGTTACTTGGGGTGACGTTTCTTTTGCGGTTCAGTATATATTCAATGTATGATTGTTAGTCAATTAGAAACACCGATGTACAGCTGCACATTTTGGTGCATCATATGAAACGATGCCATTTGTACGTTATCCAGGTTCAAACACTCAGACAACCAGCAATATTTGAACAGTTCCTGTTAACATCTCCTTGCAACGGCTAGTGAGTACTTGTCACACATAATATGTTATTTGCAATTCAGAGTGAGCAGAAACGCTTTTTGTGCCAATATAATTTCATTACGATATTGCCTCTCAATCACCGAACATCACCTGTAGGACGTGCATGCAGTGTAGCAGAGCCGACACCAGATCGCTACAAGTCAATGTGTCCCTAATCAATGCTTCATCTGTCCTCTGTAAAGGCATTCAGCAGATGGGATGTCACAGTAGCTACAGCATTCATGGTAAATTTGCTCTTTAGATTCCTTTAAGGGTTTTTATTGAGCACTAACAAGACAAGTACCTTGCTATTGTTACGAAACGTCTGCTTCTCCCTACCCGAGTAGGTACGGATCGACTTCTATTCAAGGTGTGCTGGGATATAGACATGAGTTTGACTTGTGAAGAGTGTGCTTCGATCTATGACGTCACGGGAGCGCCCGGGCCGCGCAGTGGTGGCGGAGACAGGAAACCACCTAATAGCATTGGGACAATACCGAGAGGGCTAGGCCTTCACGAAGGAACAAGTAAAAACGGACTGGGATTGGATTTAATACACAGTCCAATATGATTGGATAGCATTTTAATTATTAATGAAGTCAGAAATAAATCTTTGAGTAAAGGAACGTCGCTCACCGCCCACGACCGAGCGTTATAACTAAGTTTGGACAAGGGCGCAGCATTATCAGAAGGTAGCTTTGCTGGTACACAAGTGGAATAATTCTTGGAATACCTTCTTAAGACAATTCGTGATCATGTCTTCTGATACGGACACTGTAAAACGACGTCTTGCATTCCAGAAAAGTTACAGCCAGGAGGTAATCCTTGTCTTTCCCCTTTGTCGTGTTATATATTAAGCCTGTCGTGTATATGACATGTGAATTCCAATGACAATAGAGTTTTTGAACTAAACCATGTAAATGTAATCACTTGATACCATTTGTTACATATATGCGCTTTTTTCTGATTATCAATACCAATTGCACAAAACGCGTCTTTCAGATTTTTTAACAATTTTGTGTTAAAGAATATTGTTTATTTTGTAACTTCTTTATTAAATTACGACTTCTTCAATAGACCTCGTCAATACAGAAATTACTTTTATAAATCGAAATAGCATTATAATTGTGAAACACAAACTTGGGCAAATATCGTGTTTGATATTGGATCTCACCAATCTATTGCATGAAAGACCAATATAAACTAGAAGACCAGTAATAAACTAGAAGACCAGTAATAAATACTAACTAACACTCTATTTTTATTGTGGAAAGTTTCTTCAAGTTAGCGTTACTAAAACCGACATTTTGTCTCATTCATTTGAATACCCCGAAAGACCACAAACCAGACAGTGTGATGTAGTACAGTATTTATAGCTATGTATCGTGTTTTCAAATCGCCCGTGACATATAGAACCCTTCAGCCTGAGTACTCTCCTAAACGTTTACGATTCCTGGTGAATGGAACAATGTCCGCATTCTGACATATTTAATTTCCCTTGTGGAATTGGGGTGGTGGTTGGATTACGTTTGATTCACATGTTCCAACTCAGGCAGTATGCATGGTCAGATGGTGCCTCGCGTGCGGTGGTCACAGGACTCTAACTCTATTTACGGAACGTCTGTATCCCTTGGACATGGAAATGCATTTATTGTGTGGTACGCGTGGTGTCTCTCTGTGTCAACACAGTACATCACTAGGCGCGGCATTATGGAGAGATCTGTTTTGGGACTTGCACTGACGTCCACGTAGGTTATGAAAGCAGCCTGAAGCTTTGTCATTGTGTGCATTGGGTTAAAACATCACTCAGGTAGGGCTGGGTGTATTTGATGGTGTTATCCACGCAACATAAGTATGTAAGTCTTGGTCGATATGTGATGACGCGCCATGAAGATCTCTTTCAGTGGTTATGGAAATATTATCAGAACGTGAATCAATTTACAGATATATCACAAGTGGTTTAATTTCAACCAGGGTTTTAATTTAAAATCATTATTAATTCTTATTTTTCATGTCTTTTGAATATTGCGATCTAACGTAGACTTTTGAATATGATATGCTATACAGTGAATGTGATACATCAATCAACATGAGCTTGAATAGATATGTAAGGTTATGTTTGATATGTCATGGTATATTTTAGCTGATGCGCGTGTTTTCCTACTCCTCCTGATTTGATATACGTAAATAAAAATGACACAAACCATTCACATATTCCAGGAAAACTTGGTAAAACCAGATGCCATTGTATGATTCCGACTATATCATGAGTATGTGTTTACGAATCATTATCAAATAGTGATGATACCAGGCATTTGCGACAAGGCGAGCGTATCCTGCCCCATCGGTAGTACCCATCATAAACACATGCAAAGTCAAGTCAATTGTTCATCTGAAAAAATAAACACGAGAACATGTGGTACAAACAAACAAGGGATTTGCTTCGGACATAATTTTTGTCTCTGATGCGTCAAATATTTCAAATGTCACTAAATGTTTACCATAAAACGTTTTGAAAGCTTTACTTTTGCTTTGAATTATGTAACCCTGATCAAAACAGTTCTGAGCAAGAGTCATATGAAGTTCTTTGAAATATTCGAAGAATGAGAATGCTCGATGGTATCTCAATAGTTGTGAAATGTAAACACCAAAGGCTGGAGCTGCTGGAATATTGCTCGACATGAAGGGAAAGTCTTTTGTCATACAGTCTCTTGGAGAGTGTTTTTTCACTCTGAATCTTTATGCATGGATCTCTATATGAAACACATGAGGCGACCTCACAGGTCTCTGTTATTTCCAGGACCGCCTCCGTGGTCTAGTGGTAGAGCGTCCGCCCAAAGAGCGGAAGGTCCGGGGTTCGATCCCCGACCGCGTCATACCAAAAGACGTTAAAAGATGGTACCTGGTGTTACCCTTGTCTGGCGCTCGGCATTAAGGGGCTAAAACAAGGACTGGTCGGTTCGGAGTCAGTATACTGTGTTTGAGTGGGGTATTCATGTTAAACTGGGGCATGGTATCTCAGTGAGCTAGCACTATAAATCGGCATCACTCCGGACTAGTACAAGCAGCCACACAAACACACACACGTACATGCACGTCGCTATATAAGTGCAATAATCTTGGACGCGACGTTAAACCCCATTTCACCTCACCTGTTATTTCCAGTCCTGGTTGGCAAATCATTTGAAGGGAATATGCTATTTAATGGTTATTGACAAATATCAGATCATCGATATACATGAAGTTTAAGTTAAACTTCTTGGCCATATTACCTTGTTTGATATAGCCAACATATCCACAAGAAGGGCAGCACAACTTTTCTCCATGGGGATGCATGCGTCTTGACTAAATGTCATATTCCCAATTTCATGCTGATCTTATCAATTACGACGTTCAGCATTTCACACATTGTTTCTCTCCGCGAACTTTGGACAAATTGTACCAAACCTCTGAAAATAGTAGGGCTGGGACGGGTAACTCGGGTACCCGGACCCGTGGTTAGTCATGTAATATATAGTTAATGATAAAAATTATGTAAAACTTTATGGTTACACTGCAAGTCACTTACGTTCGCATTTCTTTTATGACAATGCACCCATTCATTCTGACTTTTCATATGGTTGAATAAAGATATAACTTAAGTCAACTTCAGTGTATGCATGACCAGATCGTTTAATACATGTATCTAAATACGTTTTGCAAGTGCTGTGGTAAAACAAAATTCCCAATCGGACATTTTGTATCTCTTGAGACCTACAGTGGGTACCCGGGTAGGGTCGGGTGATAGGGGGGTGGGTACACGGGTAGTAAATTTGGACTCGTCCTAGCCCTAGAAGATAGATATGTAACTGTATACCTTTCCACCACATTTTGTAACAAAAGCCCCAAGGATCAATGAATGAAGTGTTTCCCTGACTTTGTCGTGAGGAATAGCAGTGTACAATGTTGAAAAATCAAATGTTTTGACAGATTTAAACAGGGATCGTTTCTGAGATTTCAAAAATCCAAGTAAATCCTTATAGGTTGTGTGAATCCACATTGTATTAATCCCACTTGTCTCAAATACCTTCTGCGAAAACATATATATCACAAACAAAAATAATGCAATTCAGACATTCGATGACAGAAAATATAATTACAGGTAACCAAGACATATTAATAGATCTGCTATCGTAACGAATCTCTAAGTGAGCATTCGCCCCGGTTCGTTCGTTAGCCTGCCATTACTAACTAAATGTCAATGGCATTTACATAATCGACAATGACAAGTTGAGTTCCCACCGCGACGACCATTTATACAGCGACAGTAACTCATGCTAATTCAATATATAGATCTCCAACATAAACAACACTGAAGTAAATGAAGTGATTGATATAGCTTCAGTCGTCACATCCACTGAATCAAGAATTGGGAAATCAACTTATCTGATTATCGGTATTGTCACAGTAGAAGAAAAATATATATCAATACTGTATTGTTATTGTATTGCCAACAAATTATAGTGTAAGAATAGTAGCAAACGTTAACACGAATCGACGACCATGGACCACTCGCACAAAGCATTATTAGGGCTACGGCTATCTTAAGTCTATGTTGAGTATAGGACTTACGATCATTGTAGCGCTGAGGTCGCTTTGTGCAAGTGGGCACGGGTCATCTGCATATCCGTTTTTGTTTTTATGTTTGTTGTTTGACGTCACACTCAGCAATATTCCAGCTATATGACGGCGGTCTGTAAATAATCGAGTATGGACCAGACAATTCAGTGATTGACATCATGAGCATCGATCCACGCAGTTGGGATACGATGACATGCATCAACCAAGTCAGCGAGTCTGACTACCCAATCCCGTTAGTCACCTTTTACGGCAAGCACAGTCGCCTTTTACGGCAAGCATGGGTTGCTGTAGACCTATTCTAACCCGGATCACCACGGGGCCATATGCATATCCAGACATGTGAGTGTGGCTCCATATGCATACATATTTGTGTTGATGTCTCATTTCAAATGGCACTGTCATTTCCCATTAAAGGAGAGGTTGGAGGAGAATATGAACTCTTGTATATCAATCCTTTAGCCAGTCTGTAGATTTATTTGTCCCAACCTGTAGCATCCGATATGGAAGTCAAGGTCATTATCACTATACGGTTATATATCAACTACTAAAGTAATTATATTTAACTTGATAAAATTATGTGTAACTATCATACAATATTTTTTTAGATCTTAACATAAAACGTGATACTTATGTATTATTTGTATTACAACCATACCATCATTTTTATAACCATACCTTATGTGTCCCAGCATATCTAGTTATCGGTGTGTGCATATATGTTATAATAGCTGCTACTATTGAATTATGTTGAACTTAATGTAATCTTTAACATAATGAAATAGTTATATATAATAACGGAATATATTGATAATAATTACCATTTATTGGTACCTGATCTACATTACTTTATTTACCGTTAGATATTGACATTGGAATTTCTAAAAACGTGAATGACAAGGGATTAGTTACCAAGTAAAATGTCAGTGGTGACATCGAGAAATAATGAGGTGCTTATTGGCATCAAAAAGTTTTTTAGTTTAGTTTAATTTACGAGGGGCGGTCGGGTAGCCTAGTGGTTAAAGCGTTCGCTCGTCACGCAGAAGACCCGGGTTCGATTCCCGACATGGGTACAATGTGTGAAGCCCATTTCTGGTGTCCCCCGCCGTGATATTGCTGGAATATTGCTTAAAGCGGCGTAAAACCATACTCACTCACTCATTAATGTACGAAACTGATTAGAAAACATCTAATAAACGTC